CTATGCAATGGTAATATAAAAAAATTGTGGTAAGAGAGATAGACTATGACATGAATTTACACATAGGCTATAACTGTTAAATACCTAGGCGCCAGAGCAAAGCGAGGGTATATCGTTAGTTTTATAATATTACGGCCGGCTAGGTGCTTTTGTACACGTCTAATGCAGTAACACGCTACATCCCGCTGAGCTTTAAAGTGCAAATAGTAACGATCCTGACTCAAGTTCAGTGATACCAGCGTTGAATGTTCCCATTAGGCTACTAAATCCACACGTCTGAACTCTGAACACATCGAGACATGTGAACTAGTCTCAGTGATACCGCAATCTGCGTATAAGATGGTAAGTAAGTATTTCTACAAAGTTTTTCTGACTATTATTATAAACTAGCGACTCACCCTCGTTTCGCTCGGGTTCGTCCCTGTTTATATCTATATAGATAAATAAAATTGAAGTGTCTGTAATAACTTTTCACTAAATTTATGTGAAAGTAAATACGGTAGGTAGTAGGTACATATAAGAAAAACACAATTTTTATTGTCTGTTTGTCTGTTTGCTCCGGCTAATCTCTGAAACAGCTGGACTGATTTTGACCGGACTTCCACTGGCAAATAGCTGATGTTATTAGGAGTAACTTAGGCTTCTTTTATTTTAGAAAAAGAGTTAGGATACTGCTCAAAAAATTATAACTAATCTAGTATTAATATTTATATAGTTTTACACTAATGTATGGAAGTCTGACCGGTTTGTTGACATTTATGATTACTGCTCCGCTCCCTTGGGTGGTAGCATGATGATATATAGCCTATTATATCCTTATATCCTCAATAAACGGGCTATCGATTGCAAAAAGAATTTTTCAAATCGGATTAGTAGTTCCTGAGATAAGCATAAGATGTAACACTGCGACTATTGCATACTAAAAATTAAAAATAAAATACCTGCTTTGAATGTTGCTATTAAACTTGTAAAATCACAAACTTGAATACATGACATGTCTTAACTAAAGATTCTAGAACTAAAGAACTAAATATTCAGCGTAGATATTTTATTTATTTTATTTTATTTTATTTATTTAGGTACAGAAACAGAAAACAAATTAAAAAAAATTACATCTTCGTATTAAAAACTAAAAATATCATATTAAATTTGTTCTCCAATTATGTCTGTACACAACATTCAAATGAAAACATATAATAATTATATAAAGAAACTTAACCAAAAAAGTGAATTAATACAGTATGAGTCTGTGCATTTAAAGTAACGAGTACATAAGAAATATTAAAAAACAAAAACAAAATAATATTTACATTTCATGTGGAAAAAAAGACAAAGAAAAGAAAAAAAGATAAAGGAGAAGAAACAGAGAGAAAATATATCTTTATTATCGAAAATGTAAAGTAAGAACTATAATTTATTTAATTTTTTCTTGAACGATAATAAACTATGATTAAAAATGTCGTATTCATCATTTAATCTATTGTATGTTTTACACATTCTGTGTAAAGGGTTGTTCTGGGAAACGTTATTAGTTGCCGAAGGTATATTAAAAAGTTGTGGCTGACGAATCGAGTGAGTATGAATTTTAAATTCCAGTTTTTCTAGTAATTTACTGTTGAAATCGCCATTGGCTATTTTATGGAGGATACATAAATCTGATATAACACGCCGATCTTCCAGGCTTTTTAGTTTGTATTTATGAAGTCTGTCAGTGTAAGTTGGTAATTCACGCCTGAGACCTTGCCGCCTGCTTAATATTTATATCAACGTAAAATGTAATTCTTTCCAAGAACTTCATATAACTCGTATAAAGTTTAGACTTAATATTTTTCTCTCTTTGCGAATAAATGAAAATAATGTTGTGAAATTTGTTTTAATCTATACATATAATAAAATTGTAACTATGCCGAATCTGTACATTAAACATTTTTTGGAAAATCTTATTGAAATAAACATTATTATCGATACAGAGGCCGAATCTATAGTTTTTAGAATTTTTGTCTGTCTGTATGTCTTTTACCGCATCACAGAAAAACCACTGGAGAGATTTTGATGAAATTTGGTATGGTGATAGCTGGTTATCCGGGTCAACATTTAGGGTACTTTTTACGGCGGGAAAATGTCTTATTTTTGAGAAAAAATTCAAAAACTGCAATGTAAGAGAATACTAATATGTAAAACCTAAGAATTTGGATTTTGGTCATCTGAACGCGGACGAAGCCGCAGGCAATGCTAGTGCTTAATAAATTTTATAACGTAAAAATATTAAATGGAAAATTATGAAGCTAAGTTATAACATATTACATCATGATAAAATAATATGACGACGTGACAAGGCCTTATAATGAAACTTCAATGTTCTTCTCACAGGATGCAATGTTGCACTTTCACCTACAGGATGGAAAAATTCAGCAGAAATTGCAGTTTAGTTTTATATAAGACATCTTTCATCCCCTTAAGGGATGATTTCCGGTATAAAAACAAGTTCACTCACTCACTTTTCATATCGTGAGATTTAAAAAAAAACCTTATTTTAGTAAAAAAAAAATCTTTTCATTTTCTTCTATACATAACACAAAAAAAAGAATTATCCAATTTGGTGCAATCGATCGGAAGTTATGCACGTACATACATTTCGATGAGTCATTTTTATTTATATAAATTTTTACTATAATAATAGTGCTTTGGTTTGTATGGGCTGGCACCGATTTCGAAAATATTTGATTAGGTATGTATTTAATAGGTAGGCTTTAATTACTTAGCCAAAGCAAACCGACTTCGAAAATATTTGATTAGGTATGTATAGTAAATGAAAACTACCAATCAGTTATTTTTTACTTTTTAGTGCTTTTGTTTGAAGTCGGTTTTTATTTATTTTTTAAAAAGTTTTTATTTTCCCCCTTTTAGTGTAGACAGTAGTAGCAAAGTAAGAACTGTCAACGGAAATAGAAACACTTGCAAAGTTTCAAGTCAATAGAAGTATGTTAAATCCATTATTAGCTATTTTTCCACCCTTAGGGATGGTATTTTTTTTTTTGAAATTTAAATGGGTCCAATCTGGAAGTATACACTTTCAAATAACACAAAAATTGTCCAAATCGATTAAGAAATGACGGAGTTCTGAGGTAACAAGCATAAAAAAATACAGTCTAATTGAGAACCTCCTCCTTTTTGAAGTCGGTTGAAAAAGTAAACCAAATAAAGCTCTACCTTTTGTTCTCGAAAAAATTATCTTTTGTTAGGACTAGATTTGTGTCAAAGCGGTTTCTTTATTTAAAGTTCAATTTATACGTATAAAACTAGCGGCTACGCCCGCGTTAAATAACCAAAAACCAAACTCTTTTACATATTAAGGTGGTAGATATTTTTTGTTTTACTAGAAAACTGATGTTACTCGTATATTAGAAACTCTTCTAACAGCAATAACATAGAACTTTTATATAAACATAAGATAACCTTTAGGCCCTCTCATTTCAGTCATCGCAAATCCGTTTAAATTTCGTATTTATTCAATTTAAAGTGGTGTTTTGTTTTATGTTTATTATGTTACATACCTACCACCCAAGGTTGCATGGGGTGGCACTAGCCTGGTCGGAGCTTGGTTTTATGATTACCAGCTATTGCGGATGTTGTAAACGAGAAAAATATTAATTAATGACTGGCGGCTTCAAACAAAAACACATTTATGCTATAATTTTATTTGTTGCCTGTTATTCTGATGTGTGAGCTATATTATTGTAAAGTTTCATTTAAATCCATTCAGTAGTTTTTACGTGAAAGAGTAACAAACATCCATGATCGAAACATCCATACATCCTCACAAACTTTCGCATTTATGATATTAATAGGCATTAATAATAATACATAATTAATTGGTTTCACCTTTTTCAGGTTCCCGGAATCAAAGGGCTAAAAAGGAACCCTTATAATTTCGTCGAATGTCTGCTATTTTACTTGAAGATTATTGAACCCCTTGAAATTTAGTAGGTACACCTACCCAATGTACAATACACCCCCCAATCGTTAAAATATGACATAGTTTGGGTAGATACTGTATATATCTTGAATCTTGCTTTCAGAGTCAATCAATTTGCTTCACAAACGCAAGCACTTGCAAAAAACGCCGCCATTTGCACAATGGCGAAGAATTTATATATCTGCCTAAATAAGATAAGTACGTTATGTAAAACTATAAAGTTGACAGCTGACAAATTTCAGACTAAACTTACTGTCCCAAAACTTTTTATACGAAAAATCTTAGAAAGTTACATGTTTCAATTTCTATTAGTCAGATTTTAGTTTTTCCACGAATATTTTTAGAAATAATACTAAAATAAAAATTAAGAGCTAGATCAAAAAGTAAATGCCAAGAAAATTTTGCTCATTTATCAAATTGCCAAAATATTATTTAAATAACCAATTAAAGGCTTTAATTACTTTGTTTCAAATAATGCTTTTATTAGAATATATTACATTTCTAAATCCCATAAACGGCACTATAAATAATATGTAACAAAACAATATCTGTAACCTCAAAGTTTTCAACCAGCGCATGAATCGAACCCGCCACTACTAACATAATAAGTACTTCTCGTTGTTATTATCTTGAAGAATCACATTAAGTAAAAAATACAAATTCTTAGGTTTCCAAAATCATAACTAGAAAACCACAAAAGTTTAATCATAAAAATCACATCAAAAAACTAATAAATACATTATACATAGGTAGTAAAAGACCATTATTAATTTGAAACATTTCAATTTAATTTTTCTATAAACATTACCTATTGTATATATAAACCTGAATATTACACTGAACATTATATGGAATATTTGTGACTATAATATATGGGGTTGGTACAAAAAAACTTTCAGATGATGTTTGTCTGTTTATTAAAAGATGATATTCTTTATAAAAACCGGTTAGAGCCGGTTAAAGCCGGTTATAAGCCGATATGAACCGGTTACAACCGGCGGGACGTGGCTGCGTATGGCGACTACTCGATGATCGACTGTTCCTCTTTAACAAAGAATTCTACAACTTCTTCCACTGTGTTCGTTTGGTCGGTGTCGAGACCATCCGTATCTACATCTTTAAAAGAAAATATAACGTATTAATAAATACAAAAAAAAAGCAATGTAATACATATAATATAATTAATATAACAATTATTATGTATGTAAGTGTAAAAGCTATATATATAATCTATACATAATATAATAAAATTCTAACTGAGCCGAATCTGCACGTTAAATAATTTGGATTTTTTTTATTGAAATAGTCATTATTATAGACACAGAGACTGAATCTATAGTTTTTAGAATTACGAGAAAACCACTGGACAGATTTCGATGAAGTTCGGTATGATGATAGCTGGATCCGGGTCAAGATATATGATAATTTTTACTGCGGGAAAATATCTCATCTCTGAGAAATCTATACTATTCGTTAAACACAATTAGGGACGAACCCGAGCGGAGCGAGGGTGAGTCACTAGTATATTATAATTAATGTATTTACAACTAAAAGCTAACTTCTATTTGTACGCAGTTTCACAGACGATAGATATATTACAAGTGAATAAGCAATTTGATTAAATATCATCCAAACGATCGAAATAGCTGTACGAGTATCGGCAAACCATAAACATATTCATAATTTATATTTAATTCGCTAATTATAGATTCTAAACATCATAGCTTTATGTATATGCTAAAATTTAATATCATTGCACTCGAGTGGTATGAGCACCGAAATAAAATAACTTTGTGTTAGTCTGTGTAAAAAAAGTAGCCAATACACCCACAAACTTTCGCATATAAATATACTAAAACCTAATACCTTCACTAGGTGCCAACAGTAGTTATTGTGTTACTCCAGGTCGATCTGTGTACTTTTATCAAAATCAGTCCAAACATTTCAGCACGAGGGAGTAACAAAAACATACAAACACACATACAAACTTTACACATACATTCTTGATGACACCACTAGTTATTGAACTATATAAATATAACATATTGATTGAGTAATTTATTTAAAAATAATTTCCTGTTGATTTTTTAAAAACCACTCGACTGATTTCAATAAAATTTAAATGGGACCTGAGAAAAAAATAATAAACCTGGGAATACATATATACCCTTTGACACAAAAAAACATTCCAAATCGGTTCTAGGCGTCTTCGAGTAATCGGTGAACAAAATTAAAAAAAAGACTCCTCCGTTTTGGAAGTCGGTTAAAAAGAGAAAACAACAGATATAACTCACAATCCCGCAGCTCCAGACGGCGCGGCTTCTGCTCGGCCCACTCGCGCGTCTTCTGCTCGCGGTACTCCACGTACTTCTTCATTTGCTCCGTGCGCTTCGCCACCAATTCCTGTACAACAATAAAAACACTGTTAGAGTACATTCAACAGTGCCTTTCTTGAAGTTTCATACACATTATAAAAAACATTCATTATATAAACTTATAAAGTGTCATAATATTCAAGGGATAATAATAAATATATTGGGACATTAACACAAAACACCATCTAGTTCCATGGTAAGCTACAAGGCTTGTGTTATGGATACCAGATAATTGATACACACATATATAACTTTTGAATACATACATATTATAAATATAAACATCAATGACTGGAATACAAACATTCATGCTCATCACAAAAATGAATGCCCCCAGCGAGAATCTAACCAGCGGCCTGCTGGCACAGCAGGTAAGGTCGCTACAAACTGAACCAAATGTGTAGCCATGGTGTAGTCGGTAATGTCAAACAAACTTGAATTACCATTATGTATTGAAAAAATACTATACTTCTTAGTTAAACTGTGTTACATTTGTTAAGACTATTTTCGAATGTACACCAATATAGAGAAAAAAGAAAAAATCATTTTATGTGTCTGTACAGTTAAAAAATGTATATATTACCTTGCTGGCCTTGCTGCTACGCATACGGTCTTTAGACTCGAATTGCGAGTAGTATTTCTTAAGGTTCTTCTTGATCTCTTTCTGTTGCTTCTCAGAGAGGAGTGTGGGCGGACGCGGTCTCCATAAGAATTGTGCGAAGCCTTCTTTCATTACTCTAAAATTGTATATTTAATTATAATTTAATATTGAATTAACCTTACTTCAAATTAAAAAAAACGATATAGCATATAAACTTTTAACATATAACTAATAATTATTATCAAAAAATATGTTATAAATTTTATAAGGTTTTTACTGGTCAGTAATAACATAGACAAACAGATGAAATAAAATTTAAAGTATATTGTTTACGTATTTCAAACATAGCCTCATTAAAGTAAAACAGACATCACACTAAGAACAGTTTTGTATAACAACAACACCTACACTCGACTCTATACAAATTGACTGCAAAGGTTAAGAAAAAATATTTTTTATTTATATTCCTAATTAATAGGACTAAGGAGAACTATTTCTCGTATAAAAAGTGACCGCTGACAAGCATTAAATTGGTGGCGCCACAGAAAACTAGTTTGTAATGTCCAAATAAACCTTTTTACTAAATGCATATGAAATTATATACGGTACTTATAAGAAAAACTAATTTTCAAAATTTTTTGTCTGTCTGTTTGTTCCGAATAATCTCTGAAACGGCTGGACTGTTTTTGACGGACTTTCAGTGGAAGGTAACTGATGTTATAGGGAGTAATATAGGTTACTTTTATTTAAAAAAAGTTAGAGTTCCGCTCAAAAAAAAGTATCCAGGGACGAACCCGAGTGAGGCGAGGGTGAGTCGCTAGTTTAAAACATAACGTCATAAAAGTAAGAAGGTGAATTAAACAAGGAAAGAAAGATTTCCGCTTTGCTGTGGCGCACTTTTCTAAATAGTTCTAGCATAGGCAAACAGCAATATAATTATATATTATTTTCAAGTAATAATAATTCAGCACACTTCACTCCGTTAAAAACTACTAACTTCACATCACATCTACTTGCTACGCTAGTGCTGTAAAGCTTAGTTCGCATTAAGCTAGTATTTTAGTCTAGTAGCGAGTAAATTAGTAGCTAAATTACTCGCTACTCACCAAAACTCGTTCGCACTTTGGTCGAGTACAGTTTACAAGTGAGTGGTGTTTTGAAAGATGAACAGCCTACAACGCAATAAAGTAAATAAACTGATTAAGCTGATCGTAACGGCTATTTTAGAAGAGGTGGATGAGGAAATTTGTGTGATTAATAAAAAGAAGCTATGGGTACGAAAATGGATCGAAAGACAAGATAAAGTAGGAGCTACTAATTGTCTTCTGAAGGAATTAGCATTGGAAGATCCCAAAGAATACTTCAATAGTTTGAAAATGTCCGAAAGTTGTGTAAATTTTCTGTTAATGAATGTTATGGCGGCAACTAATGAACTCGACTAATTCGACAGGTTCGTACTTGTTTAGCCGGTGAACCAGTGAGCTCGGACGCGTGGTGGGGGCTGCTACTCGCCCAAAAAAATAGAATAAAATGGATTGACTCGACTAAATTACTTACTAAACTAATCGACTAAATTTTTAGTGTTCAGACACGTTTAGTTACTAAATTACTCGCTACTAGACTAAAATACTAGCTTAATGCGAACTAGGCTTAACGGTGAGTTTCTGAGCTATAATTTGCTGCTCACTACTGGACACTTTTTCAACCTGTTTCCCATATAAGTTAATTCTCCTTATTTCTCCCTTCCATAATCTTTTCAGACTATTATTTTTGTAAGACAAGAATACTCATTTAGTAATTAGTTATGTTCAGAAGAAAGATTTTATGTAAATTTTATTGATCCATGCATGAGAAATACATGTGATATAGTTTTATGGTGGATTAACTTTAACTAGTTAAGATTATCAACATCTTTTAAAAATTGTTATATTGTTAGTCATATAAAACAATTTACACTATTAGATTATAATGTACAATGTTTTGATGAATAGTTTTAATAGCATAGTCATAAATGCATGTCCAGTTTTGTTTAAGAAATTACATATTTTTATCAAAATTAAAGGTAATTTTATATTACTATAAGTGTGGAATATCAGTGTTTTGTTCAAAAAAACAGATTAAATAGCAGTATTTTCATAATATTACTGCACTTTAGTTAGTAACAATCATGGAAGAAATGTCTAAAATGCAGTAATAACAGGATTTACTGCATTTAAAACAGTTTTTGAAAAGATTATACAAATAAAGTGTGTGTAGTAATAGGGGCTAAAAAATTAAAATTGCCATAATTATAGTTTTTTATAAAAAAACTAACGTAACAATGTTTAGTATTTTAGTTTGGTACATATTCTTTCACTTTCCATTCAAGGTTTTATCGAAAAGTCTCTTTTTGATATATTTTTATGGATTCTAAACTTTAAGCGCGTTTTTCTCGAATTCGTGTTTTTGCTGTTACTGCACTTTAGGTTCGGGAGGGCAGTACAGTCCTGTCCCGTCCCATAACTTCTGAGGAAACACACTGACTTTCTACAATAAATATCACTAATAGAAAACCAAAAACTACATAGGAATAGTAAATCTAACCACATGTCACACTTATGTAATTTTTTTAATATATCTTTTAGTTTTAGAATGTCACTTTGTCTAAACTTAGAGAAGAATAATGTATACCTTCTCAAGATTTTGCCTTGGAATGACCACAAAAAATATCCACAATCCATCTTGCACTTGAGAGAAGACACTCCTGTCACCACATAGCGACCAGTTGGGTCCCATTCAATGCCTGACATCTAAAACATAAAAGAAATTACAATACTACATTTAACTTATTTGTATTATTTGTTTTGAAAGTCTTTAGGATCTATATGAAATATTTAACAAGCTATGCTCATTTGTAAACAAAAATATTAAATCCTCCTTTGATTTAAAGTAAACTTAAAAATATACAACCACGAATTTTAAAGTAACAACTTATATATAATCTTTGCAAAAAAAGCCTTAAAATTAACATAGAATACAAACCTGGTAATGATCAGAGATATTCATAATGGTAAAGTCGTTTGTATCAACAAAGGCCAAGGCACCACCCGTCAGACCGAAATTGGCCAGAACAATGAACTGACCCATCGGAGACCAGAACAGATGGTTGAAGGTCCTATCGAACTTCTTCAGCAAAGTAGGTGCTTGACCGGTATTCACTTGGTAGAAACTAATACATATATTTGCCGCATCACCATGTATAATGGCAAATTTAGAACCGATCGGTTCCCAAGCAAAGGCTTGGATCGGCTCCTTTATTTCAACAGAATCAACCGGAATCTCCTTCTCTCTCATGTGGAATATTTCAAAGTTGTAGTACATTCCAGAATATTTGATCTCATTTTTATCTTTCTTTACTTTTGAGTAACGGTCTACTTTGACACACAAGTAGTCACCACTCTTTTGCCAGTGTATTTTACAGTCGGCGACTGAGAACAGATTTTTAGAACGGGTCTCAGTACGGTTGGGTATTTCTAATAGTGTTACTCTGGCTGGTACATCTTTATCTTCGGCCACCCAATATGCTAGGACATTGTCAGAGGGCGACCAGCAGAAGTCCCTATAAAAGGTGAAAAATTTATAAAATTAATGTACACATAATAATTTTTAAGGTCAAAAACCTAAAAACTAAAATGTTTATGAAAATCTATACTAATATTATAAATGTGAAAGTTTGTGAGTATGTATGGATGTTTGTTGCTCTTTCACGCCAGAAAGGCTGAATGGATCTGGATGAAATTTGACACTGAATGATTCAAACTTTTATTTAATTCAATCATGAAAGTTTCTGAGAAAAGGCCCTGTCCCTCATTTAATTTACAATTTTTGTATTTAGTAAATTCATAGATAAAGGAATTTGTACATTAAAAAAAATATCTTAATAACCCCTTAAAAGTACATGTGTATCTTTAAAAAATGGAATGTTTAACAAAATATTTAACACTTAAAACATAAAAACAATATGGATGAAGAGCTTACCTAATTCCAGGTATTTTAATAGATTTCTTATCAAGCAGACCAAAACTAGGGGTCTCGTATACAGAGAGCACGTCAACGCCTAGTCTTGCGAAGAAGCGGTCGTCCTTACTCCAACGGAAAATTGGCCACGTCACATATTCATCGGGTGGTGGAAAACTACGTTTTTCTTGCCCTGTTCTGTTGATAAAACAAATATAATATATTATTTTTTAAAATAAATTAGTACAGATATTTGTTTTTTTTTTAATATGATTGACATTGAGAGAAGTTCTTCCTGTGAATACTTTCTATCGGAGTTTATGCTGCACCCATTAATAATGGCTGTTTGTAGTAGCCTTACTTGCTATGCCAGCAGTTGCGGGTTCGAGTCCCGCTGGAGGCATTCACTTGTGTGATAATATATATTTACATTTAATAAATTTACCTGATATCCCATATAATGAGTTTCTTATCATCACCCCTATCACTGTTAGGTGAGAAAGTAACAATATAATTTTCACACGGCGAGAAAGAAATGAATCTAGCTTCAGGATGGTAGAATTTCTGGAACTGACTGAACTTAGGTCCAGCCCATAGGGCCACACCTCTCCAGTGGAAAGTTGCCAAATATGTACCAAGAGGAGACCACACAGCGTAAGTTTCAGTCCAATTCTGAAAGAATACTTGAAATTAGTGTGCATATATTTAGTTAATAGTAAGAACATACAACATGAGCAATATCATATTACTAGAATTTAATCATAAATTATTTTACAGTAAACCTGTAATACTTATTACTTTTCTGATAAAGAAATTGCAAGAAAATATCATTGCATTTATATGTATAATATTACATATGAATATTTATTTTGAAAAAAGTATCTGAAGTTGAATATATTCCAGACTAATTAATACAATGAATACTTTAAATATAACAATTGCATACAATAATAAATAAACACATTCACCACTGATTGTGGTATATAAATTTTTTTATCTTAATTCCTTACCTAAGTTAATACATATATTATACTTATTAGTTCAATGACCAATGAGATATTAAATTAATACCAACATTCATAAAAGAAAGCACTCTCTCAATTAACTTGTAAATCAAGTTCATAAGTAGAACTGGTTTAAAATAAATGATACTTGTCTATACTAATATTATAAAGAGGAAAGATTTGTTTGTTTGTACTGAATTATAGGCTCCAAAACTTTTTCTGAGACCTGGGAAGGACATAGGATAGTTTTTATCCTGGAAATCATCCCTTAAGGGAATGAAAATTGGGATTAAAATTATTATGGGAAAGTAAACTAGGGAAGAAACCGAGCGAAACAAAGGTTAGTCTCTAGTATAAAATAATTTTACATTATTATTCATGTAAATGTACATTAAAAACAACTTCCAATCACAGTAAAGATTTTAAAGAAATATGTAATAAAATTGCTTACCGGTCTCTCTTGCAACAAAACAGGCTCAGGTAGAGTATTCTGCCATACTTGGAGAGCAACACCTGTACCAATACCCACGAGGAACTGATCATATGCATCAGGATCCATGAGATACCATTGAAGGTCTGATTGCACCTTGAATGGTTGGGGTGCTGGTGGTTCCCATTCTTTAGGTATGTCAGAATATCTACAAATGTTAAGAATTATAGAGGTGAGGATTGATTTTATGAATATATATGTAATTGTATTAATTAGTATTACTTTTAAGGAGTTATTTATTATGCAAATTTAAGATTAGAAATGATTTCATATTAACTTATTTTATGTATTATTAAGTACTTCAAAATATTTACTTATTTTACTACAATAATAATTTCAAACCTTCTTCTTAGAACCATAACAAATGTAATATGTACTGAATGTTTCTAGAAATTTAGTTTTTTCTGATAGATAATAATATAACATTTTTTAATTACTTTGACTGTTAGCTTCAATTTATACGATTATTATAAAAAACATCACATTGTAATGTTTTAAAGATCAGAATAAAGGGTTGACTTACTATTGAATATTTATTTAAAATTCATATATTTTGCTATTTACATATATCTATTATGCAACTGGTGATAGTAAACATAAGATTATGGATGTTTTTAATTAATAAACTAAAAGAAATTCATATGTTAATTATAAAAGATAATTTAAAATACTCACTTTTTAAAATCAGTAAACAAGTTTACTAAAAATGTGTGCTGCTTATCTAATTTACAATTATTAGTGGCTTGGACAGCCTCGGCGGCGTTCTGAGGGTTACTGTATTCTAAGAAAATGTAGCCCGTAGTGACTCCGGTCTCGGTAGTAGGATAATACTCGTTGACAATTTTACCGAATTTACTAAAGATTTTGTTTATTACGCTCTGGAGCTTCTCTAAACGTTCAGGCCCGACCTGCGGGCATCCGTCTACAACGATTACATTTTCGTAACCATCAGATTCCTTCGGTTTCTGTTCTAAGAGGTCTGCCAACAATTCTGCAACGTCAAAGTGAGGTTATAAATTTTAATCATCCATAAGTTACTTACATTGCAACACATCACACAACGAAATTATGGAAAGTAGTCTACCATTCACACTATTTGTTCACATTACTTTAAAATTCAAGAAATCACTAAAATGCACATAATTTTGAAGATGACGCATATGGCCGGGCCAACTATGGTAAATTACCTACCCTCATCTGTAATGTCGTCAACGAATCCTTCCGGATCTTCAAAATTTGGCTCTTCGTCAAAATTTTGCTCCTCATTATCACTTTGAGGAGTTTGATTCACTTTCTCATCGCCTTTTTTCTTTGCCATTTTGACGTTATAACGTGTGGTACCGGAAGATACGCCATTAGTGAACTAAATCCATAGACTATGCCAGCGACATAAAATTATAAATTCAAGTATCAAAAAGCTTGCTTTGTACGTTCGGATAATTAACCTAACATAAAACATTTTAATTTTATTGCAAATATACAAAGAGGTACAACAAATATTAAAAAAGCTAAGAAAATATTAATTAAGTAAATAACAGAAAACAGTAATAGAAATAATTTATTTTCTTAGTTGTCATATTTTCTTTTCAGTTATTGATATATATTTTTTTATTTATATTTAATTACATTATTATGTAATATGTACCTGTACTAATGATTTACATTCATATAGTTATTATTGAAAAAAATATTTATTCATTAAAAATTAAAAGAGGGTTTGCTATCTCTGTTCAATCTTTAGAGCAATATAAATTAGGTTACTCTATGAAAAGTTGGCGGTAGTTTTAAAATTTAACATCAACTTTAAAGTAGCTACTTCAAATTAAAATTACCGTGCTTCAACGTTCCAAGCCATTAAAGCAAAAAGTTATAGATTTTTAAAATTTTACAATATAAAATAACATGTTACCTCGATAATAAATATATCGATCGAATCGATAAATAAATAATAATGATTTATGAAATACTAGCAGAACCCACAGCTTCGCTCGCGCTAAAACTACAAAAAGACTCTAAAAAGGTAGGTTTCATACAAACTTTTATCCTCTATTTTACCCCCTTATTCTAAAAATGCTAAAACACGTATTTCTTTAATTGTATTGAAGAGAATTAATACCAAGTTTTAAGTAATTCTGATAGTATTTTTTTTGGTTGTATTATAACGTGTTTTCCCGTTGGAGTTAAATAATCTCCGGCGATAAAAAGTTTCGACGTGAAAGAATGACAAACAAACATACTTTCACATTTATAATATTAAAGTATGGAAGTATGGATATATTTTGTCTTTATGGTAAAAGTTTAAATTTAATATTTTAATATTATCATGAACATATTGCATAGCACTATGCTATAAACCTCTACTGCAGAGGGATATAGATTTAGGTAGATACTAAGCATTTATGATTTGTTTTTTTTTCTTTCATTCATTATATACAATATTATTTCTTTCATATATATTTCAATTATAATAGATTTAAGACTAGAAGCGACCCACATTCGATTTATTTAATGACAATTGATATTATTACAAATTATTATCTTCCCTTTCCATTCTATACCTAATAATATACCTACTAGAATAACTCGTCTTTTTGTCTTTAGTACGAAAAACACAAACTTAACTATAGCCCTATACGGGAGGCGTGGTGAATATAGAAAAAAATAATTGAAATGATCCCCAATAATTGTAATGCCTTATTGATGACTAGCACTGCCCGCGGCTCCGCAAGCGTTCAGATGACCAAAAACCAAATTCTTAGGTTATACGTATTAGTATAAGAGTTACATTGCAGTTTTTGTATTTTTTCTCAGAAATGAGATATTTTCATAAGATAAAAAGTTTCCTATATGTTGACCCGGATAACCAGCTATCACCATACCAAATTTCATCAAAATCCCTCCAGTGGTTTTTCTGTGATGTGGTAACAGACAGACAGACAGACAAAAATTCTAAAAACTATAGATTCGGCGTCTGTATCGACAATAATGTTTATTTCAATAATATTTTACAAAAAATGTCTAATGTACAGATTTGGCTTAGTTACCATTTTATTATATGTAAAGATTGCATACGTACAATCGTACAAGCATAAATACGTCTTATTGCTTATGGACCATCAAACCTGCCATGTACTTATGCCACAGAAACGTTAAAAATAAAAACCACCCTGGTAGAGTTTCTTTGAATAAGCAATTCATTGTTTAGAAAATTTTAGAGAGAGAAAAATCAATTTAAATTGAATACTATTGCACGTTACACGCATCTCAGTATAATAGATGTGGCATCAATAGTTGCCGGGTCAGCGCACATGAAAATTGAGGTCGCTCACAGGCTGCACACCGTCAGCCAGTATAGGCTGTTGGCTTTGATTATAAAACTTGTAGAATTGTGGTCCGTATGACAAATTAAAAATTAAAGTTTCTTGTTTTTCAACAATTGTGATTATTCAACGTGAAAAGCGATATATTATATTTTTTTTATTTCAGTACTTTTTTGCTTCTAGTAAAAATATTTAAGGCTTTTCCTGATTAGGTTGGTATTTAAAAAAGAAAGGTTAAAATAAACATAAGCTTGAAGCACATAATTGACATAGCCACATCTACACTAGTATGTAAGTTTGTTTGTAATGGATAAACTAAAAATCCGCTCAACATATTTAGATGAAATTTGGTATCAAGATATTTTGAGACCCTGGAAAGGACGTAGGATAGTTTTTATTCCGGAAATCATCCCTTAAGGGGGTGAAAAGGGGCATGAAAAATTTATATCGGGAATCGATCATTACTCTAGTAATGGATATAAAACTCATCTATTTCTAAGTATTATGTGTATATACATACTAACTAATATATAGTCAATCTATTCCATACTAACAGTTAAAACGTACCTAGAGACAAACCCGAACGAAGCGAGGGAGAGTCGCTAGTTCTCGTATATAGGTCTCATGTATCAAGCTATTACTTAACTTATCAAACACGGAAACACATATAAGTTGTAACTTTATCAGGGTGATTAAGCTTTGTACATAGAAAATTTCAACAATAAGCTTAGTTATGGCGGCCCACTTTCTACAATCTCAAAGAAAGTAAACGAGGTCACGACTCATGTTTGTAGAGAAGAGACGCATTTCGTCACACTGCTAGTTCATTGAGCACTGTAATTCGTTACGTTTATAGATTGAAATACAATATTGACGTTGCGTGTTAGGTATTTTATATATTTTAAAGCTACAAATGCTAACTTATTTCCGTTCTGTTAATGACAATGACGATGAATATAAAAATCTTCAAATCTCGTTGCAGATAAACTGTCATAGAATTAACTATTAAGACCTTACTATTTATTGCTTAGTTATTTATCGAAAATTAAAAAATAATTTATAAAAAAGAGAATATCCTCCCACAAACATTTTTCATTCAGAGAAAATGCGTGACAATCGGCGTTGTTTTCCAGTGACATGACGCATATACGACTACAATAACATTAGACTTCATATCATCTATATAAATATTTCTGTTAAAAATTAAATTATGTATTTTATTAATACTGATTTATGCAAAAATCCTGTAATATTTTAAGCGAGTTTATATATGAAAATAAAATAGCATATTTTACAATTACTCGAATCATTAATTGTCGGAGCTTTTGTAATATTATATATGCACTAAGAAAACAAAAACAAACCTATCCCACGGGTACTGTGCATTTTTTCGGGATAAAATGTATTATTCCAGACTATAATCTGTCTCTGTGCCAAATTTCATCCAAATCCGTTCAGCCGTTCTGGCGTGAAAGAGTAACAAACATCCATACTCACAAACTTTCACATTTATAATATTAGTATAGATGGCAAAGACTTTACTTATATGTGAAGCTTTTATAATAATTAAATAAATAATTGTACAGAGATTTTATTTTATTAACAAATTGATCCTAAGTTCCTAGTCATTGAAGGTATTTAATGGTCGAGTTTATTAGATTACCTCATGATAATAATATTTTCTACTCTATACATGAGATCATTTCGAAAATATTTACACCAAATATTGGTATGTTCTCATTTACTTTTAATTAAAATGATATAAAAATAATAATGTGAATGTGATGAATAAATTTTATTAAGAATTAAATATGTCAAGCTTTATAGTTTATAGACATAGGTTTAATTCGCGCCTATGACGCGATTTTTAAAAATCCACGATTTTTTTTTCAACTCTTGTCTAATAAAATAATAAATGTAAAAATGTCTTAAGTTAGGATTTTTATCGAGTAGTAATAATAGTAAGATAAATATTATGAATAAAATGAATTATTACATTCTGTCTCATCACACATTCAATAGATATTATTTTAAGTTCTAAACTAACCTTCCTGTAGAAGTGAATTGTTTTTAATCAGATATTAGGTACATTTTTAATTATACCACCGGATAGATTCGGGATGCTTTAATTACCCATTATAGCATTATGTCATATGTGCTATTACTAAGCCAACTTTACCACCTGGCCGTCTGTTCGTCTATCTTTATTACATACATACGAGTACATAGGTCTGCATCTTTTAAACTTTAGTCGGCAGCGTCTCAATATGTTCTACAAAATACAAAATAAACTAAAAATATAAGCCGGCCAAGTGTGTATCGCTCTCGCAATAAACATTTCAACCACTGATTGATGTAGAGACATATTTATTTATTGTAATATTGTAACATACTTAAATTATAAATGAGAACATAATAATTATAGTTCTATGGTAAGAAAAGCATGGTTTGCATGTCCTATTCCCACTTGGCCAATTTTAGTTTACTATCGTAATTCGTAAGGTACCGTAATAATGTTAATTTCATTCAAAGACGTGCCGGTGTCAATATATTTTTTTCTTAAAACTATTTAAGTAGTGGCGTACATTGACGTCCAAAAAATTGCTTTTTTAACTACATAAGTATAGTACGGCATTATTCTCCCTGTTACTCCATCACTCCAGTGAATTTGCGTAATCTTACAGAAGAATTTAGACATTATTTTCAAATATTTATTATATATTATATTTTTATTTTCTAAGAAAATAGGGCCGTTCAATAATTTCTAAATAGATCTTCTAATAATATCACTTATCGGAAGGTTTATATTAAGTTTTTGTATAACCATTGCGCTCTAATATAGTAAATAAATGATATTTATATCAACTTCTAATCTATAAAATATAACTGCCGGTCTACAATGTGCGGTAGCTCTTTTGTACACGAGGTACAACGTTCAAAGCCAGTTTTTGCGGCCATTTTTGCGGCCAGTTCTCTCGGTATAGTGAATGAAGAACGC